CTCTGGTGCTCACGGGTTTTAAATAGGTCAGCCTCTAAGTGGGCCGTCCCCTGCTGCAGAGCCCGTCTCCGGCTAGAAGGCCACACTGTTTGGAGACAACACGATTTCAGAGGGGTGACAGCTGCTTATGATTCTGTTGTCCTAACCATAAAATCCGTAGTTTTGCTTAACAGCCAGTGTGGTAAAACCTGCAAAAATCAGCCAGATCCCATGGGAGGTGGGCAGGGGAGGGTTATCAAGGCTGTGGGATTAAAGTTAGACAACTGCAAAACTCAGAGGGGCCTCAGGGACCACCTAGGTGGTCCAGTGGCCTTCCTGACCACACTCGCAACAAGAAAAACATTTTACAGCTTCCTCAGTGCACATGCGTGTGCCTGCACACGTGTGCACACGTACAGGCACGGACAAGTGAAACAAAACATCATTACAGGGACTTTCCTATAAGTTAAAAATTGGTTCTACTGTGACCCCCCATTTGCACAATCCAGAGCTGGGCCTGAAGCCCGGGACCCCTCGGCTGGGTGACTTCCCCACCCCGGTCAGGAATGAGACTCCCGGAAGGCGGTGGCGGTGGTGTGCAGACCACACGTGTGGCTTTCCAGCTTCTGCTTCAGGAGCTGAGCCTGTGGCCTGTGTGCTCGCTGAGCCTCCAAGACCTTGGAAATCCTAAGGAGGGCCAGGGTCCCACCTTACTCTAAAGACAAACAATTTCTCCAAGCAAAAAGCAACCGTGTCTGATTTTTTGTTTCCTACAATAGCGCTCCGAAGGCGAGCAGAGCACATGGCGGCGGGAAGGCGGTGACGCCATCATTATTTTGGGGACGAGGAGCAGCCAAGCTGCAGCGGTAATGAAGCTGTCTGCCAGGCTCAGAGGCTGCGGCCGGGGGAGGGCCCGCATTAGCATAAACCCTGTGACTCGCTCCGCGCCGCCTGGAACCGGCTTCCTCTCCCCTCTGGCTCCCTGGGCTGTGAGGACTCCTTTCTGCCTCACCAAGGCAGAGCTGGCTCTCCAGCACACGCTTCCTCTCCAGCCGCGAGGGCTCTGGGAAGGGCCGACCCTGGCTGTGGAGGGGGTGGAGGGTGGGGTGCGGTTGGGCCCGCCCCCGCCTGCCTTTGGCTCTCCTCCCCTCAAGCCCGGTCCTCCCTTCCAGCCGGCTCCCCTTCCTGCAGGAAGCCCTTTCAGACTGCCAGGCTTTCTCTCCCTCCCTGATTTCTGAGCACTACTGCAAAAGTGCTCCCAGAACAGCAGGAAATGGGCCCAGAGCCGGGGGCCTGGGTTGCAGGCGGTGGTGGGAGGGGCGTGCAGTGGGGAGAGAGGGGGTTTGGGACCTGGTGGGCCACCAGGGGAAACTCCAGCCGCCCACTTTCTAATGCTGTTCCCCTCCTCCTTGGGCGGGTGCTGGAGGAGGCAGGAATGGGGAGCAGGGTGCGATGCAGTACGGGGTGTCTGAATGACAACCAGGAAGAGAAGGGGAGGCACAGAGGTGCATGTCAGCCTGACACTCGCTCCAGCCTAGGCATGGCCACCCACTGCGTGTGCCCAAGGGAAGTCACTTCGCTCTCTGGGCTTCTGCAGGCCTCTAGGCCAGGCTCTGGCTGCGGGTGATTGTGGAGTCCGTGCCCCTGCCCCAGTTCCGGGTTCTGCAGGCATATGCTCTGAGCACCCACATTCACCCCAGATGCTCTTCCCCAAGATGGCAGGAAACTGCCAAGGAGTCTAGGAGTGACCCCTGCTGAGACCTGGGGCCCAGCTAGTGGGTCATGGGAGGACCACCCGGGAATCACACCCGTCTCCAGAGGCACAGCATGCAGGGACCGGACATGGGAGCCTGGCATGGCCCCAGCTGGCGTGGCACCTCACATCACGCAGTGGGCTTCTCCAGGGAGGCAGGGACTGGGCCCCTCAGTCACCAGGTGCCAGTTCCATGGCCAGTGACAAACCACGGCCATCGGGACAATCTTAGCCACGGCACTGTCCCGTGAAATGGTGAGACTGAAGACACCAGGAGACCCAGGACGAGATGGAGGGTGGCACGGGCAGGCCTGACAGCTCCTTCACTCACCATGTCCTGTGCCCGCCTGACCAGGCGCTACAACTGGCCACTGGGGCCGAGTGCAAACCCAGCTTGGGGCTCCCAGGCCCCACTCATTAGTGCTCCCCGTGTCTCCTCCCAAGGTAGTCTGCTTGTCCCCTTCTCTCCTAACCTCCCCCGTCTGCATGTTTTGGCTCACCAAGCCTTTCCCCTCATAGGCAACAGGAGTTCCACGTCTTCTGTCCCTCCCCTGTCCACCAGGGACCTCTGTGGAACACCAAATGGCCAGCCCTCCTCCCTCCCATCTCCCCCAAATGCTGCCTTGCTAAGGTCTGAGGTCTGTGTCCCCTTGGGGTGCCCTGACCAGAGGGGCTGCGGTGGAGGTGGACAATCCCCACGTCCCCATTCTCCTGAAGAATCCTCTCCATCCCAGAAGCTGACCCCTGACATGCTTTCTGCTGCAAAGCACCCCACTAAAACCACTCTTGGGCATCAGCCACCCCGGCTGGTGAATACAGTTGATCTTGGCTCCAGAATCAGACTGGGGGTGGGGCGGGGTGGTGGATTTAAGCCAGGTGGGCAGGGACCACTTATGGGCTCTCTGCCCTGGGTCCATGTGGACTACCGGCTCCTGGTGGCCCTGCGAGTGGAAGGACTGCTTGCCAGGTCCCTGAGAGATGACTGAGAAGGCACACGGAGGCTGTTTGGATGCAGAGGCCACAGCCGTGCTGTGGGTGGCGGCCCAGTCCGAGGTAGGCTTTTGCAAACGGATTCCAGGTACTGAAAGACCCCTTCGGTGCCACCTCCAGGCAAGGGGCAGACCTGGTGGAAACCAGCCCAGTGACTCAACCGGGGTCACTCGGCCCAGGTGTGACTGAACCTCGCCCCCCAGGCCTCTTAGGGCCCACAGCCCACAGCCCACAGCCTCTAAATCAGGACTTTTCTGAAACAGGAAGAAACAAAAGGGGGGTACAATCAGAAGTAGCTGTCAGGAAAGGAGCTTTTCTCCCCAGCCTCCACACCTTCCCTGCACCCCAGCAGGGCTGGAAAAGCAGAGGCAGGGAGGTGGGATGGCCTGGGATGAAACCTCGACCTTGGCCTCCTTCCCGCCACCTCTACCCAAGATGACAGAACCTCAGGACGACAGGAGCGGAGTGCAGCCACCAATGGGAAACCGCTGATTGGTGCAGAAACGGGAGCCAGTCATGCAGAAAACCCAAGGCCCGGGCTGCAAGTGTTTTCTACCAAGGCCACAAAACAAATTAGCCAGGGGTCACACGTAAGAGGCCGTGTCTTCTCCCTCTCAGACCCATGTGGACGGCCCACTTGCCTAAGTCTGCACTTTAAACGCTTACGGTAGAAATGCTAGAGACGGAAGGCGCCGTGCTCCAGGGAAAGTTACGGCGTCCCCGGCCCTGCACCCTGGGAGGGACAGACAAAAGCACGGGAGGGACAGCAAGGAAGCGACAGGGCAGCGAAGGGCTCTTGGAAAAGCGGGAGAAGAGGAAGGGGACAGTGACGCCGAGAAAGAGGCAGTTAAAGGGGAAAGGCAGGGGCCAGCAGGTGGCAGAGTAGTTAAGGTACTGGACTGCCACACGGCCGACCACGGCCTGAGTTCCAGACCCAGCAGCCTGGAACTCACTCCGTGCCCAAAATCCCAGGAGGAGAATGGACAAGGCAGGGCAGCGTGGCCATCCCCCCTGAGGGTGATTTCTCACTTCCCCTCTCACTGGCTTTCTGGTGAGCACACGTGTCCTATGGCGAAAAACTCCAAAAAGTCACCGACTAAACAGTGACCCCAGCTGTGCACACCCGAGTCCTGGTGACAGTCCCCTCACAGAGGGCGTGAGCAGCAGGCTGAGCTCACTGTCCCAGCTCCACGGCTGCTGGAGCCCCCAAACGGACGGAGACAAAGCCCTACAGCTATCACGATGCTCCAGGCGGCAGGGAGGAACTCGACAACTGGACCCAGGGCCGGCAGCTGGCATGCGGTTGAGGGTGCTGGACTCCCACCAGGCCGACTGTGGAGTCCTTGACCTGGAGGGGAGGCTTGCTTTTTCATCCCCACCCCCCCCACCCAATCTCTGTTTCTCTCTGGTCAAATGAAAATAAATAAAGTTAAATAAAATAATTATTTAAAAAGACAAGAAAGAACCTGAGGACCTCAGTCCTATCAGAAGCTCAGGAAGGAGGTCCCCCATGGTGACCATCAGGACAAGCCCACCCTGGGCCTATGGAAAGAAAGGGGGAGGGGGCTTTATCAAGGCCCGAACACTCCACTGACAGGACCCAGACTAAAATTCCAAAACTTGAAGAAAGACATAAGGAGGAGACCGGGGTGGAAGGCACCGGAGAACCGGGCGGCAGAAGGCGCCGGCGAGGCTGCGGCAGACGGCAGGGAGGCCACGACAGCCGCCTCGCCAAGCATCCGGGGTGCCGTGTAGGAAGAGCCACTCGCTCTGCCGCTCTAGACCGAGGCTCAGTGTGCGGAGATGCCAGGCCGTTCCCGCCCGCCGCAAAGCAGCAGGGTCTGTGGGTCACTACGGCTGTCCAGCCGTGGTCTGCTCAGAAAGGTGGGTTCTGCCCGTAAGCAGGGGTCAGGGGCCAGTGAGGTCTGCAGTCTGCGCAGGCAGCGAGTGCCCCGGGGCAGTTAACCACAGTGTCATGGAGCTCTGCAGGTGGTGAGCTTGCGTGTGTGGGCCTCCAGAAAGGCCATGAGCTGGCTCTTCCCTCCGAGACAGGCAGCACTGCTTAGGTCACAGGACTGCCACTCGGCAACCTTTTTTTCTTTTTCTTGCCGTAGGGCTCACGGGCTCACGAGAGGAGAGAGAGAAAGGGAAAGTGAGAAGCTGGCCCCCCAGAGGGGATGGCCTCACTGCAGTCCCTTCTCCTGCACTCCTCCTGGGATTTGGGGCACACACGCACATGCGCCTGGTGAGATTTTCAAGCTGCAGGGTCTGGGACTCGAACCGTGGTCGGTCAAGTGGGAGTCCAGTGCCTTCACCACCATGCCACCTGCCGGCTCCCCTCAGCAATCTTTATGGGCTAGGTGTGATAGAGAGAGAGAGAGAGAGAGAGAGAATGAGCGAGGGGCCTGCCCTTGCGGGCTCGCATTGTCCACGAGGGCTGCACAGACGCCGGCATGTGTGTACACCGCATGCAGCACGGCCGAGGAAGGCCTGTCCGAGGCAAGCGTGAGTGAGGCCTGAAGTAAAGTGAACATCCAGAGCCTTCCAGCCGAAGGAGAACGGGCCGGAGGGAAGGGAGGAGGTGTGGCGGGCCGCTGGCTGCTGCCCGGTGCCCGCGCACATTAACAATCCACACACCGGGCGGTAGGGTTGGGCTTCACAGGCGACAAAGTCGGAACCGCCTGGACCTCAGCAAAGACAGTAAGACCCAAAACGTGGCCACAGCAGCCTAACACTCCTGCCTTGATTTAAGGCAGCAAAGCCAAAGAGGGCCTGTGCTTCCTCCATGGGGACAGCCTGTGAGGGAGTATTCTGACCGCGAGTGGTCAGAAAACCCGGTTTGGGCCCAGGTCTTACGATGTCACGGAGACTCAGTGTCTTCAGCTGTGAAATGGGGAGAATCCCCAAGCCCACAGCTCTCCCTGAGCACATGAGGTGCTGGGCTCGAAGGCACTCGGTAAGCCTCGCCACCCTGGAGGTCGCCGTGAGCACATTTGGAGCCTTCGCGCCCCAGAAGCAGAGGTGTTATGCAATCCCATTCCTGCCACACGGCCTCGCGCTGAGCTCTCAATAAATGCTTGCTGAACTGAAAAGCAGTAAAAATAACCTGGGAAAACATTCTGCCATTTTTTTCCGACTATTAAACTGTAGCACTTTGCCAGAATGTTCCAGAACAGTCTCCACGGCAATCGTTTGTTTTGGGGGGAGGGGTGGGAGGAGGAGGACCCAACCGAGCCACATCAGGGCAGCAGATAAACACCAGGATGGGGCTGGAGCATGGCCCAAGGGACTACTCGCTCTCTGTGCCACCCCAGCCCTTCTCAAACCTCCTGAGGGAGCCAGCAGTTGGCGTAGACGTTAAGGCAGCTGGATCCCACAAGGCCAACCGAGCAGCTCGAGTCTCCGACCTGGGAGACTTGCAAAATCATGCCAGGCATGTGAGCATGTGTGTGTAAGACCCCAAGAGGAGACTAGAGGAGAAGGGACTGTGATGCGGCCATCCCCCACACACACACACACCCCGCAGGAGTAATTTTGCACTTTCCCCTCTGGTGAGTACACACGCTCTATAACAAAAAACAATCAAACGAATCCTGGAGGCCAGACCAGTCCACCAGCAGAAGGAACTGTGGGCCACCTGAGGACAGGACGAGGTCTCTTGGAAAAGCCAAAGAAATGGACAACGTCCCCGCGTCCCACTGTGAGTGCAGACGCCATGACCTAGTCCAGCCACCTCACTACATGGACAAGGCTCAGGCCGAGTAGTAGGCTCGTTCGTGGGACGTCGCCTTTGTCATCTTCCCCTTTTGATTTTTTTGACGGAGTAATACATTCATCCCCTCATTTCAAAACCCAAAAGCTTAAGAAGCTATAATGTCAAGTCTCTCCTTCCGATGCTAGCCTCTGCCTGCCAAGTGAACTACCCCACCTGCTAGGATCCCATTGGCGTGTTTAAACACGTGATGTAGGAAATTGAAAGTCGTCCTCTCCTCCCTTTGACCCACAACGAGCACAGTATGCCGACCCTCGCCTTGCCATCTTTCCGCGGGGTTGGCGAAGCTGAGTAATAACAACCTGGTTTCGAACTCGCAGCTGCGTAGTGTTCCACTGTGTCGACGTGCTGTCATTTCCCCTAACCTGGCCCTGGCTGAAGTGCTTCGGAGTTGCTTCCCACTTTTTACTATCCTAAGTAAGTCTGCTATATAGGTGAGTTTACACTTGCCGTTGTGCGTTCACCCAGCTCACTGACGAGAGGCGGAGTCCGATCCCACTTCTTACCCGTGAGGTGGCTGTTACAGAGCCTCCGGGCCTTAACCTGAGCGTCTTCCCTGTGCACAGTGGACCAGGCACTAATCCTCTGTGCACCTGGTAAATGCGACTTCGAGCAGCCCTGACGCCTGGCACCAGGGGTGCAAAAGTAACAGGTTAAAGCATTCCCTCCCGGCAGACTGCAGACCAAGTCTCAGACCCGATGGATCGAAAATTATGCCGGCACGTGTGTGTGCCCAAATCCCAAGAGGATATTGGAGGAGAAGGGACTGGTGTGGCCACCCCCGCAGGGGGGCAATTTCTCACTTTCTCTCCCTCTGGTAAGCATATGTGCCCTATGGCAAAAACCTTAAAAAACAAAAACAAAAGCCCACACTCGGACAGTTCAGCGCGGCTGGACAGGCATCTCATCTCTCCAGGCTAGTCTCCTGGTCTGGAAATGGGTGTGGCCATACCTACACATGAGGGTGGGGGTTCCAGCAGATCAGAAAGGTAACGTTTGCCAAGTAACTAGTAAGCGAGCGGCAGTGAGGCTCATGGTAGATGCTTCATAAGGAATACCCTCCTCTTGTTCCGAAGAGGGCTTAGTGAAGCCTCCGGGGAAGATGCCCAGCACTGGCAAGCTCGCTCCCGCGGTCCCACCCTGTCGTCCCAGAGGGCTGGAATACACCCTCTGACTTACTTTTTTTTTTTTTGGAGAGGTTTTTGCTGTAAGGCGTGTGCGCTCGCTAGAAAGAGAGACATAGACAGAAAGCGAGAAATCACCCCCCAGGGGAGATGGCCACACCGCAATCCCTTCTCCTCCATTCTCCTCTCGGGATCCCGGGCACGCACGCACACGTGCCTGGCATGAGTCTAAGCCACTGGGTCCAGGACGTGAACCATGGTCAGCTACATGGGAGTCCAGCGACATAGCCATTACACCAACTGCTGGTCCCTCTGACTTACTTTTTTGAAGCTCCTAATTATGTCCCAGCCAACCTTCTCCCTCCCACTTTCCAGACTGTCCGGTGTGGCTGTGGCACCTGGGCATGTTTCTCATCTCTGCACATGGCCCTGGAGGACCAGGGTCAGAGCTGTGAGGGGAGCCGAGACACATTTCCGGAGACCTTAGCATGTAAGGCACGGTGACTTTCACACAGAAAGCTGACTTTACTAGGGCACCCTTGTGAGTACAACCAGTTAACTGGAAAAGGGGGAGGAAAATCATCGAACCCTGTACTTTGTCCTGCACAATATTATTTATTTATTTTAAGATTTTGCCATAGGGTATGTACACTTGTTGGAAAGAAGGCAAGCGAGATGCCACCCTCTGGGGGACGGCCACGCTGTCCCCTTCGCCTCTACTGTGCTCCTGGGATTCTGGGCACACAGGCACATGCACCCGAGCGATTTTCAAGCTGCCTGTTCCAGGACTCAAACCACAGTCAACCATGCGGGAATCCAGCACCTTAACTACCGCACCATCTGCTGTCCCCATAAAAGGTTTTAAAATCAGAAATTTGGGCATATTCGATGTCATTTTCCTGGGAAAACAAATGTAACGGATTTCCTAGTAGAGAGAAAGAAATGCAGGTCAGGAGCCTGGAGCATTTCCACCTTGTCACTGGGGGCAGGGGTCAGCGCGGAGACTCCAGGTCAGGTCTGTGGTCCGAGGTCTGTGGCCCGCTCTGCACCTGAGCACAGCTCCTCAGTGCTACCTGACCTTGGCCTGGCTGTTAACCTCTCCGAGTCTCGGATCCCACCTGCTGGAGAAGAACTCACCCCATTCATCTGTACAGCATTTCTGTACAGACGGGAATAAGAATAAATATGGTGTCTGGCACGTAGGTACTCAGCAAACAGTTAAAAACAAACAAAACACAGAAAAAGACATGCTTTTTTTCTCACCATTCAGTAACACGATGAAAATCTAGGGCCTTCCACTTAGAAGCTCAAAGGAAAACAGCAGACACGATATGATCCAGCCCCCAGGATCCCGGGAGGCCGTTTTCCTAACAGGCTAACAACAAAGTCAGACTTCAGCCAGCTCCTTTCACCTTCACAGGGCGCCTGCTCTGGGTCAAAACTGGGGGCCAGCCAGGGCTCATCCCAGGCCTTGGAAAAGATGCCCTGGCCCGAACTGTGGGCTACCCCCCCATCTAACAACCCCCAGAGCCCTGACTCCTACCTCGCCTTCCTTGGTCAGAGGATCACACAGGTCTCTGCAGCCCACCTAAAAGCACCTGGCCCCCAAATCAGGGAGACAGGGCCTGAAAGGTCCAGATGGAATCCAAACGGCAGTGATGGGGGGCCTCCAGGAAACACAGCGATTCCAGAAAGACCTGAAACCGCACTCTGATGGTGGTGGGAGCTCCGGTCAGCAAAGCCCCAGCACCCCAGCAGAGGAGAATACGCCCATTACTGGTCATAAATGCGATCCGAGGGGCCAGCAGGTGGTGTGGACGTCGAGGCCCTGGATCTCATCTGGACGACTCCATGCCAGACCCAGTGGCCTGAAAATCACACTGGGCACACGTGTCCAAAATCCCGAGAGGGGAACAGAGGAAAAGAAACTGTGGTGTGGCCATCATCCCTGGGAGACTCTCTATCTCTGTCTCTGCCTCTGCTGGCAAGTACACATGCCTTATAGCAAAAACTAAAAACTAAGGTAATAATAAGTAGCAATGTGGAGGTCCAAATCTTCCAAGGCATGAGTCTCTGGAGGAAAATAAAAGACATTCTGGAGTGACAAGGAAAGAGGCTGGTGCCTAAGATTGGGATGGGCCGAGTCCTGGCCAGCTGCTATATTTCCCCCTCTTTTATATCATTTCATCTTCCCTACTAATCACCTCCCGGACTTGCATCCTAACCCTGCCAGGTCTCAGCTTGCTCTCTGGGAAAGTGACATGTAAGGGACTTCTAGATCATATGTTCTCAGGTGCTGCTTCATAGGGACCAGGAGTTCAGTGAAGTCACCCGAGTGTCTGGCTCAAATGCACCTCCTCAGGGAAGCCTTCCTAGATTACCCATCCCCCGGAATACAGCTTTGTCATCATGACAGTTAACACACCAGCAGCCTGCCTTTGTGTGATGGCCTCCTCCCCACCCCGGGGGGCGGGAGCACTGGGGGTGTGCTTGTCCAGTCCCCTCAACACCTCGAGAAGGCCTGGTGCACAGCAGGTATTCAGTGTACACACTGAAGGAAGAAGGAGTTGGCAGAGGCTGGGGGTCAGCCAGAAGGACGGGATTCCGATGCTGCACCTCCAGTTACCACCTGGGGAACTCTTGGGTAGGCATCTAAGTCCTCCACAGTTATATTCCAGTTCTAGAAACCACCCCATTACTCCTGGTCACTATGGGATGCAGCCAGCCAAGTGCCACACACCGCCAGGGCCATCTGTGGCCACAAGTCCCCGGGGCCTAACGAGGCACTGCCCTACAGAGCCAGCTTTCTGGTGACAGGGGCACCTCTCTAACACCTCGCAGCCGTGAAGCCCGTGGCCACTGGTCAGACTCAGAGGCGCAGGATCCCTTCCACAGCTGACCTTGCCCTGCGGCCACTCCAGACCACGACCGCACCGACCACTGGGACTAACAGAAGGCCATGAGCGCCCACAGAGGCCAGCTGCCTGCTGGGGACTCAGCACCCCTTTGTCTTTAAGAGGACAGCCTCACCTCAAATAGCAGCCCCGGCAGGCGCCCGTCTAAAAGAGACCTCTCTGGACTCACTGGCCACACCTGAGTGTACAGACACACTTGCACACTTAACCAAGACACACACAGGCACGTCTGCCACAGAGCCGCCAGCTAGACAGGCTAACGGGGCAGACGCTTGTGGCTGCAGGCCAGCCTCTGCAGAGGCTTCTTGGTCAGGCCTTCCAGAGACAGCTGGGAGCTCCGCAGAGGACAGGATGCCCACTCTTCCCCAGCCACACAGCACACGGCCAGGCTCTCCGCGGGGAGGGGGACCTGCAGGGCCGGGCCGGGCTCCAGCACACAGACCCTGCTCACAGCAGCCAGGAGCTGAAGCAGGCACAGGCTCTCCAGGGAAGTCCTGCTCGGCTCCGCACACTCCTGGCGCTGCCTTCTGGAGGGCCGACTACTGAGACGCTGACCCCACCAGGGGAACCACAGTGCACACCCAAGCAAGGGACTGTGGGCTAGCTGAGGACGGCACTGCTGAACGGCCTGGAGGTCAGTCGTGGGGACTTCGATCTTTTTTGCTTTTGAGAGATTTTTGCTATAGGACACACAGGTGCACTCACTGGAGACAGAAATCACCCCCCACCCAAGGGGGGATGGCCACGCCACAATCCGTTCTCTACTTTCTTCCTGGGATTCTGGGCCTGAACACACACACACACACACAGCTTGAGTTTCAAGCCACTAGGTGCAAGACTTGAACCACAGTCGGCCACAAAGAAGTCCAGTGCCTTAACACTATGCCACCTGCTGTCCCTGGGACTGTAATCTTTTTTTTTTTTTTGGGGG